TATATGCAATTTGTTCTCCTAAACAACTTTACTTAAGACAAAATTATCGATTAGCTTATTAAGTTTTTGACTTTTATATGTAGCTACTATTTTCGGTCATATTTTATAAAAATTAATTTTGTCTAATAATCAATTTTGATTGGCTAAACGACATTAAATTATCAATTAACAGAAGTCAGGGTGTAAATTTACCAGGTAAATTACCTGAATCTAGTATTCCGCACGGATCAGATCGGACGGATATTTTTAAAGATTCAGATCGGATCTGGGCGTGGATTCGTATTTAACGGATCTTTAAAAATCATGACCGGATCTGCGGAATACTACGGGGGTAGAATCGTCACCTAAAAAAGTTTGAAAATCACGTGATGTATATCATTATATTACATATCGATATTGTATTACATTAATATGTCATTATTATCATAATGACTGATATATTAAAAGTTCGCTTAGCTTGTAAATTTAATATATATTTATTTTGATTCATATTATTTCTCTCTTTTCTACGTGTTATTTCACACTTTTTTTTCAAAACTATGATATGTAATTGTTGTAAACTTGACAAACCAGACGAAACTTTTGAAAGTTTAAAAACTAATAAACGCAAAAATGTTGATACTAAGTTAAAAACATGCATAGATTGTCATATACAAATGTCAGCAAATAAAAAACTAAAAAAAAATGAACAACAAAAAGAATCTATATTAACAAATCAAGAAAACACGTTAGCACCAGAGAATCTAGTAGATTTTATTTTTAATGCCCTTCCAGCAAATCATGATTCTGATGAATACTTGTTCGAAAGAAGATTTACTATGCTTTTTAAACCGTTATTGGATATTTTTAATATAAATTCAGAAACAGAAGATCAAGCAAATAAGGAAGTAGTGCAACAAATAATTAATCTTATTTCAAAAGCGGATGGATTTTCCTGGATATATCATAAATTTCAAGTATTAAAAAATTCATGTTCATTCGTTTATTATTGTAACTGCCGCGAAGAATTAAAAAGCAAAAAGGCAAGAGTTACTAATATTTCAAGTCAACGTGACACTATGCCAAGAATTATTCGATATGATTGTGGTGGTACAATTCAAATTAATATAGAAAGAACTCATAACTTAGTCGTAGTTAATATCTATTATTATCTTCACCCACCACCTGAAGCAATAGAAGTTTCACAACAAATCCGTAATTACATTTTTAATAATAATCTATTAACAGTTCCACAGCTTTATAATAACATTAAAAATGAAAAAATTAATGGATTTTTAAATGTTACTCGAAAACAAATTTATTATTGGTTTAAAAAAATTGCTACAGAGGAGTACAGATTAGCAGATGATCAATTGGAATCAGCTCGACGTTATTTAGAAAATAATTTAAATTTCAAACTTCTTTATCAAGATCAACATTCAATAGCATTTTTAACCCCTTTGCTATTTGTAATGCCAAATAAAGTTACAAAAACAATTGTCGTTGATTCTACTTATGGAACAAACCGTTTAAAGTTTGAATTATTCGCAGTTCTTGGAATTATAGATGGTACTGGATTTCCACTATCATATTTTTTTCTTGAACCAAAGTATCCATATAGCAAAATGCAAGCAATTTTAACTTGGTTTAAAAATTTAAAAGAAAATGGGATTCAAGACATTAATACTATTTTAACAGATAAAGATCATGGACAAATTACAGCTGCTAAACAAGTTTGGGCTAGGGCAAGAATTCAACTTTGTTATTGGCATGTATTACGTGCAATAAAAAAAAAATTATCAAGTACTAGTATTACACACAATTCTTATAATGCT